GTCTCTTCTAATTGTCGGATTATTCTATTCAAAATTCTATGAATTTTAAGTGACGTATGCATTCACGATAGTTACAGTATAAAGGAGTCGATTATATTTTTTCAATAGCGAGAATGTTCATGACAGAAGCAAATGCAAATTGGACTGAATTATCTCAATTTGTAGTTGAGGATGTTTCTTTAGTACGTAGGCTGAATAATATTCTTGCGCAAACGCAGTAACATCTTTTTCTTCTTGGCAATAGAAAAAGCTTCAGTTTCTTTCGGGATGTTACAGCATGTGTTTCTTTTGCATCAAACTATTGAAGAAAGAGTATAAATCACACGTAGGCATATTCGTTCCTTAGTCTACAGCTGTCGCTTTTCCTTAAAAATTTTTAAAGAAGCTTATATATAAAAACGTTAGCATGAAAATCTTCAGAGGATAATACAAAAATTCATTCGATCTTCTTAGGTGTTTCATATTATGTATTAAAATTAATGTTTATTGAAAAATGCTTGTATTTAAAAATATATTTCTGTTCGACTCAATTTTTTACATGCATTATTTATTATAAAAAATATAAATATATAAATTTGTAACATATCCTTTAATAAGAATTATTTAAATTGTTACAAAACCTTATTCGCCTCATTCGAAAAAAAATCATTTTCATTACATTTTCATTTTTTGTCATTTTTAGTACATATTTAGTACATTAGAGAATGCACTCTATAATGTATTAAATAAAACGTTAGTTTCTTCTTACTCGTTAAATGTCGTTAATCATAAAATAAAAAATATCTGATATTATACTAATATAAATTTAATTTAAATTATGTTCAAGTAGAAATAAAAATAAAATTACGCAGCTAATTATAAACAATAATTATAAGTAAGATCTATTAATTGATTTCATCATCTAATCGCATATTGCGATGTCTGTATACCATGTACATATACACATTTATTCGATACGTTCAATAAATTTTTGGTCCGTATATATATATATATATATATAAACAAATTTATTTGATAAATAAATTTAATCAATTGTATGGTAATTATCTCTCAGTTTCAAATCAGTGAAGATTTTATTATAAAAAGAGTACAAGTAATTACTCCAAGTGTATAGAAAATTAACTTATTTTTTAATTTAATATTCAAAAGAGTAAAAGAATTTTAAAATAAAACCAACTTTGAAAAATAAATTCATGATATATTACTAATTACTATTAAAATAATTTAAAATTTAATAAATTTATTTCATATATTAAATACTCATGTTTGTTTTTACATTCAAATGGTAAGAAATTAATTTTACTATAATGATGCGTTACTGCTTAGAACGACGATATCATTAAATTTCAATGTCACATGATTATTAAAAGCAACGTTGTCATCTTTATCTCGAATAAATTACACGGGATAAAATGTTGTGTGTTTATGCATCACAGTTTTACAAAATTAACGGTTGATTGATATATTAACTAAATAGAACTGAATGTACTAATTAATTATTTATTAGGATGTAGGCTTAATTAATTAATGTTAGAAAGGAAGGCGAAAACGCGAAACGAAATCGATTTCAATAAAATTTCTTGTATTGCATATTTATTTCATATTGAGAGGCATGTACAGATACCACTACACAAATTAATAATAAATCATGCAGATTTTTTCAAATAGGAAGCCCTAAATACAGAATAAGGTACCTGAGCCGAATAAGGCACAAAATAAGGCTCACTTTTAAATTTATTACTTTAAAACTCGCTTTATGCCTGTACTATATGTTTAAAAGATGTGTCACAGGAAATAGATAAAAAAGAATTAAAGAATTAGAATCGATAGTAACACATTTGTTTAAAACAACAAAAACTTGTGTGTATAAGGCTAGTACGAGCCATTTTTATAACAATCGGCTGTAAAATTTACCAATGTACAATGTTTAATAATTTATTATAATTCATTATAATATTATTCAACTTCCTAACTATGGAAAATAACCAGTAAATAATTTTTTTGAAATAAGTATAAGTATTTTTTTTAAACGCGTACTTATTAAATAAGATCCACTTATGTGATTTTTTATTATAGCTATAATTATTTGTTTGTTATGTGTGGAGTTTACGCCAAAAAATAACAATTTTCAATGCTACTATCTTTTAAAAAGTCAAAATTGCATTCAAATTGCTAAAAATTTTCAAAGATTGAAGAGTTGATTACAAACAAAATTAAAGATAATTTTAATATTTGAAAATAGAGTAAGTCCTAAGGAATTTCCTTTCTATGATCAATAATCATTTTAAAACTGATTTAGAAAAAAAATGTTTACTTTCTTTGTTATTTTTAATTTATTTTTGATTTGGGCTTTATTGTATTCATATGCATGTAATAAGACCCAACGTCAGAGTTTAATAAAATTTTTTTTCGTTCATTTACATATATTCTATATAAACAATATATTTTATTTTTAGGATTGAATGAAATGAAGATTTGATTCTCACTTAGTTTATTTCAATATCCCCATAAATAGAATTAAAAAAAAATAAAATTAATTAGGTGGGCCTTATTCG